GAGCTCTTTGAAGATTTCAGGGTTTTTCGGGCTTTAGGATTTAGAATCGTCTATTCGAAGGGTCTGGGACCAAGAGGCACCCACTCCCAAGGACTTCAAAAGGTAGTCGGCGAAGGCAGTGTCATCACCTGCGCGAGGGTTGGCTTGTCTAGATCTGACCTCTAGCAATATATAGCTTGTATCAGCACCGACATGGATCGCACTAGTTTTGCTCAGGAGGCACAGGCTCTTGTGAAGGATCTAGCAGCCTTCCCCGGCTTCTGAACACGATGTTGAATAGCATCTAGAATCTAGATCTGGAAGCACAGCAAGCAGCTTCATGCCCAAGCAAAACCCGAACTTCCAGCACATGACAAAAGCGCCCTGACATCAAGGCTTTAAAGATTGGCTGCTGTGGCCCTGCTGCGACTCGGCGGGCTCATGATCAGGCTGCCGTAGCTGTAGCTTTGGCCTTCGCCTTGCTTTTGCTCTTGGATGATGCGGTCTTCGGCTTTGTCAGGTGTACCTTGACGTGTTTCGACTGGGTCACATACGTAGAGTTTGCCTGCGTCAGCAGCAACGTTAGCTCCTCCAACGGCTGACCTTTCTGCCCGGTAGCCACAGCTGCCTAAGCGATATTAGGAATCGTGGAAGCAGTGAGGTAGAGGTGAATTTCACTGGAACATTTCACAAAATCATATAGCTAAGATGCCTCGAGGTTGGCACGGTGCTCGGAAATGAAACCATGGTGTTGCATCATCGAAGAGAGCAGGGCATCCATCAACCCCTGGTCCCTCAGTGCAGCTCAGCTTTTTAGAAAATACTTGTTCTTGCAAATATTAGTCCATCATCCAGACTACTGCACGATAAGGAACACTCCATTCTCCTGGAGCTTCGTCTTGAAGCCCTTGATCTCCAGAAGATAGGTCGAGGCTTTGTTCATAGCCTCGGTCACACATGCTTGGCATGAGCATTGTAGCTAAACCATGTAAACAATAAACATAACTGTACCAAGCCCCTAGGTTACAACAGCAAGCCAACCCTAAGCACGAACCCCCGGAAAAAATAACATCGATAGCCAAAGTCAGGCTTGTTTAAATTTGGGGCTCAGGATGATTTCGGGCTTACATGTTTTAGCCGCGGGGCACTCTTGGCTAGCTGTTCCGTAGTTTTTGCTTTGACATCCTTGGCCTCCTTTTTGTAACGAGTTTTCATCTCTTCATCTGGCGACGGCTTAGCATTAGCAGGCTGAGCGGGCTCCGGTTCGAAGTCAGGCGCTTCACTCTCTCGTTCGTAGGACCAACTGACTTCCTCAGTCTCAATCTCCTTCTCTGTCCCCGAGACCCAGCACTTGTAGAGCTTCATGTCCTGGACAGGGAGTAGTTTCCAGAATCTATTCCTGAATGTCACCACCCCCTGTGCCTTATCCCTTGGGAAATCAGGATGCTGCTTGTGCAAAGCCACATCTTGCTCCTGCGAAGCGGAAGCTTATTGGAGTTCAGGCCCTTGGCTTGGGGGCCGGGTTGGCGAGTCTTGGGGCATCTTCCCTCTCTCTCTCTCTCTGATCACTCACTCACTGACTCACTCACTCAATCTCCCTGTCTCTTTCTCTGCCTCTCTTTCGCTCCCCTCTCTTGTCTGCGGATCTGTGCTCACTACGGTTTTAAGACTTAGAGCTTTAAATTTTGGGGGGTTGAAGACTCCGAGGTTTCAAGCTCAGGTTTGGGGTCGGGGTTTACAGTACTTAACTAGTGCTTGTGTTCTCTACACGGTTCTAGGACTTAGGGCTTTTGGGTTTTCATCGTGTTTCAGGCAAAGGTTGCTAGTGCGATTTGTGGGTGGTGTCCTTCTCTGCGATGAGACTGTCGGCCCTGGCTTGCGTGTACTTGAGCTCGATCTCCTGAATGATTGCACGGGTTTGATGATAAAGGCTCGGGCCTCGCACTTCAAAATATGCCAAAAAGTTTAATCGGTACTCCTCGCGAGTCCACCAGCACCAAACACCCTCTCGGGCAATGGTCTTCGAGAGCTTTGACAGAGCAACAATCCGAGAACTGCCCCAGGATTCGCCCGATAAGACAAATTCGCGGAACAACTTGCCGATCTTGGAAGTGTCTTAGATAGGCATTCGATATCGAGTGCACACAAAGAACATTTCAGCAGGAATCGCGATTTAAGCAGCCATGTCACCCTTCTTCAGGCCCTCGTGCGCTTTCTTCCACTCAGCCAGCACTGCAGGCGGGCATTGGCCACCTAATCATGATCATGAAGAATCTTATACGTGTCTGGGGCACACCAGTAGAAGATGCACAACACGTACACACACACACATGCATACATGTCTC